CAGATTATGTTCTACATCTATACCAAATTTTACCGAGATCTGTTCACTCGTCTATCCAAACATTCGTATTTAAAATATTAGTAAGAAGTAAAATGACGGAGCCAAATACGTGCCATCGATTATTGTAAGTATTTTTACAGATTCATCTTTGTTAGTTATCTGTATTTCTTGTGTCCTCTTTAAAATAGACTAAAATTTATATGACCTACTTTACGACTATGTTATGTTGCACTTTATTCAACTCTTATCGTTCCATCAAAATACAGTAAACGAGTTTCTTAGTAAGAAAGTGCTCCAGTTGTTTGCATCGAGTTTTTTTAAGGATCCGTTGTGTTAGATATAAATCAGTGTAATATTGTTGACTCAAACATGTTAAGCAGGTGTGCTAGGTAACGCTCTATAAAACTATTCAAGTAGAACTCTCAATAGTTTCGTGTTGTACACAGTACAGTCAGCTGCATAAATTTGTATGCTATAAATGTCACCGGCACGATAGCAGACTCCGACCGCGCGGAATTAAAAAAAATATTCAAAGTCTATGTGTTCTTCCAGACTATGTACTATATCTATGCCAAATCTCAGCGAAATCTATGAAGTCGTTCTGGTATATACCTTATATAGATACCTTCTAACAAATATCCATACATCCAAACATTCGCATTTATATTATTAGTAAGATTTACAATGCTTTAGAAATTCGCATACGCCTTCGACTTTCAAAATTGTTAAGTACTTGTCCATCTGTATGCTCACGTATTTTTGAATCCGAAGATCTATACAAGTTTTTAAAGTATTATAAATGTATACATATTTATGACGCTGACTGTACATTTACGTATTATGTAACGATTATAAAAAAAACAGTAGGTCTATTGATCCGAGTCTATAATTCTGCTCTATCACATAACTAAAGAAGAGAGAAGTTAGTGCCTCCTTGTCGCAAATTATACGATTTGTTTACATATTTTTTCTATTATAAAAAGAAAGTCAACCAGTGTAAATAACTAATCATAAACGATTTCTAAATGTAAGTAGGTTGTATATTATATTAAATCACCACCCATCTTTACTATTATGACAAGAGTATCGGCCCCTGTAAAATTAACATATAATGAGACGGTTATGTCTAAAAGATAGCCACCGCCCACACGGTATTAGTAAGTCCGTTTATTTAACACTAGCCGCTTGTACCAAGCGTCAGCCGAGTAACAATTTTAACTGTATAATAAAAATATACATTGTACCCAGACGATCTTACTTCTTATTGTTATAAATATGAATGTTGGGATGTTTGTTACAAGGTATTTCCAGAAAGGCTGGATGAATATCGCTGAAAATTTGCAAAGATGTAAAACATAGCCTGGAAGTATACATAGACTACTAATTAAGTTTTTTTTTTAATTGCGCTCTGATGAAGTAACGGTAAATGTCATTATTTCTTTCAAATGATTCGATCTTATTGCTTTTGAGATTTTGATTCCCGTAACGCAAAACTGATAAATTCGTAGAAGTAAAAATATCGATGTTATAGAGGTAACATGGATTTTCGTAATACGTCACTTTAGTTTATAGTCATACTAGCTATCACCCGAAATCCATCAACGCAGAATTAAGACAAACTTAGTAGCCTATGTGTTCTTCCAGATATTCAATATTTCATCGAGATCCATGCAACCGTTCTAGTGATACCTTCTAACAAACATCCATCTATACGTCAAAACATTCTCGTTTATACTAATATTATAAAGCAGAAGAGCTTGTTGGTTTAAACGCGCTAATCTCAGTAACTACTGGTCCGATTTGAAAAATTCTGTTTTTGTTGGATTGTCCATTTATAGAGGAAGGCTTTAGGCTATTTAACATTACGCTGCGATAGGAGCGAAGCGTTAATAAGTTCGCGCGCGGGCGACAGCTAGTTTACAATATTACAAAGAAGTACGTGGTAATGAGTATATCAGTAAGAAATCTTATGAAGACATTATTGTGATCGATAATTATGTGGACGTATTGATAATCAGATATTCATCAGGCGATGATTTAACGAGAGTACGTCAGGCGACGATGTGATAAATCTATACATGCATCTAAGATTTCACTATTTAAATATTGTGTAGGCGTTATGCACACAGGTTTTGAATTAGTATGCATCGTTTACTGGTGATTTTTTTACGAACATAAAAACGTTATGTTTTTAACGTTTTGTATGTTGAAAGTAAGTTCCTTCTCTGTCATTATCTTGAAACAAAACAGTGTTAAGTGGTGAATTTCGTCTCAGAAACGCACTGTGAATTATATTTGATTGGTTTTATCATTAGATTCGGCTTCATTCGAGTGTAATTCAGTAGGTATTTTTGGTTTATTAAAGTATCTAATTTGTAGAAATAGTATTAAAATTTTATGAGCCTTATGTGTGGTTGGTTTCTTCGTACAGTACGTGTGTTAAAAACGTTTTATTTTTATATTCACATACGCTTCAAAGTACAATGATGCATAAGTTCATGGGTTCGAATCGAGTAAATCATAATGTAAGATTGAAGTAAGGGCGTTATTTAATACATAAAGTGATACATAATAGTTAAAATATGTTAATTGAAATATTCATATGTACACTAACACAATATTTATTTGCCAAATTAATTTTTTTATTGCTTTTATTTCTCTAGAAATATATTAATTTGATTCTAATATATTAATGAAAATGTATTTTATTTTCTCCTGTAGCTATTAATTATTTATTTCCGTTATAAATGAACCGGATGTCGTTGATGTCTTCTGCAAATATAAAAATATAAAAAAAAATTAAGATGAGCAAATATATATTTCGATTCTTCCATATTTGTTTTAAAAGTTGTTAAAAATATCACACTTCTTTATATTATATATTCTTACTATAATAAATAACTGACGGAAAATGGGAACAACTATATGCAGAGTCATAAGAGCGTCGGTGACTCAGGGGTTAAGTACTTGACTTATAATCTGCAGGTCTTGCGTTCGAATCCCGCCATGTACTGATGTGTTTTTAGATTTACGTACAGTACATTTATCCGACGTTCTTACGGTGAAGGAAAACATCGTGATGCAACCTTCACATATTTGCGAAGAAATTTAAACATGTGAGTGAAGTCAACAACACTGGGCCAGTTTGGTTGACTATAGTCACCCCTAACTAACGACAGGCTCTGTGCCTCAAAGGGAATGTATAGTAAGCTGATGATGATATCCAGAATTATAAGTTGGGATATCCCAGCATATTACCAACGTCATACAAAAATAATTTTCGCAATGGCAGTCAAGAAATAAAAAAAAAATACTGATTATTTTATTATATGATTAATAGTTAAAGTTACAATGATTCTAAGATTATTTTTAGTCCAATCGTATTACGTGGCTTTAAATATTTAACCGTTAGAACTAAAAATGCATAAAATATAGATAATATATGCGAATTGAAACAACATTTTAACAATGGTTATCGCATCCATTAATATTTACGATGCATTCGAAATTCAAATGTGCTTTGAAAACAGTTTATCCACATACAAAAAACGGGCTAACATCTCGCTTATAAAATCCTGTTAGAGAGAAAATGACAAAAAACAGATACAGTAGACATTTGCATAATCAATTATAATTGGCATGAAACAATATTAGAAATAATAGTAGTTTTTTTTGTATACTTTATTCGCCATTTCCATCCGCGGGGAATTAAAAAGAAAAAAAACTTAATTAGTAGTTTATATGATCTTCCAGATTATGTTCTATATTTATGCCATACTTCAGCGAGATCCGTTGAGGCGTTCTAGAGATACCTTCTAACAAATAACCATCCATCCATATAAAAATTCGCATTTATAATATTAGTAAGATAGTAAGAAGTAAGAAAAGAAATAATGTCTATGTACTAAGACATAAACTTGATAGTTAACACTAAAGTAAGTAAGCCAGGCAGTTTGAATACAGTAAGAAAGATATTGTAAACTGAACAAAAAGCATCATTAAAATATTAATAAACACTTTAGTTACTATGTGTTTATAACGATTACCCTGTAATAGAAATAAGTCCTAATAGCCTTAATAATACATAAATACATCAGTATTCTGTAATAGATATATGTAAGTATGAACAAACATATTCGACATTTATATTTCGTAGGTCGTTGTCCACAACTTCGTCACCGTAAAATAAAAAATAACGCAAGTTACCCTCGCACACATAAGCTACTTTCCAGTAAAAGTCACGTTAAAATCGGTCAACCCGTTTCGGAGATTATCCGAAAAAACGCGGACATGAGGACAGACAGATATACAAAAATAAAATATTTTTTTTTGTTCTAACCATAATAAATACACCACGATTTTCTTTAGACACAGCAATTTTATAAATTGTCTAGATTAAATTTGATATAATAGTTAAGAAAAGAGACTACAGCACTCAGAGGAGTTTAGTCACTAATGAGACTCTTAGTGTAAATTTATTACGACAAATGTTTACTAAAAGCTGCTTAAGTAACGATTAAATGTCTGACTGTGGCAGTAGGAAAACTTAGAAAGCTTTTTTTAATCTTTCAAATGTTGATAGATTATTCTATCATAAAATTAAATTAATTTATTTATTCTGTTGACCTGGTCTAGGTTTTAGGATTATGTTACGCAAAATGTGTTGACATAAATGTGTTAAATGTCAAATTAATTGGATATCTTTACGTCAATAAATGACGAAATGTTCCGTTACATAAATGTCATAAATATATTTCAATATGCATGAAAAAATGTTATGCTAATAAAATGAGTCGACGAATCTTTAGCTTTTTAATTTTACGAGTAATATAAGTATGGTTATCTATAGGAGTAAAGCAATCTTTTATGCTTTACTTATTTAATGATAATTCTTCCTAAGTTTAAAAGAAAAAAAATATTATGCACACATGTGACGAAGAGAAAAGTAACAATACAAGTAAGAAAAATAATTTAAAAACATTAATTATATAATCACTTACTTTGGGTATCTTTTAGATAAAAAGTAAAATCCAGAAGCACAATAACAAATCTACAAAATGTTCAATTCAAATAAAACGTCACATTGAAATGTCAACTCGAGCACGTCATTTTTCCCGCGCTTATTTTTCGCGCCACTGCGCCGCGTCGCGGTTGAACCGATGAGACGGTCAGAGAACAAATGTTGCCAGTTTGCGCGCTTCGGGGCGGACTGCCCTAACGCCATCCGTATAGTTTTGACCACAGGCGGAATTAGAATAAAGAAGGTCAGCGAAATGTACTGACACATTTATTAATATTGTAATTTATTCAGGCATATTTTAAACATTTAGACATGACACTACTTATAATTTTTAAGCATTTACATATAATGGAGGTGGTGTTTAGTTATAGGTAGATTTTTTTCTTTTTAATTATTGGTTTATGCACATAATGCACACAATTTATAAAAGTATTTTTGTGAGAATTAATACTAATATAATTATTAGTATTATGTAACTTGTGTTGAGTGAAAATAAAGCTATCTTTATCTTTTATTTGTGAGATATTGATATAAGTAAATTACTAAGTATTTGATGAAATTCCTAACTTATTTTCTACCTTAGTTGAAATCTGGAATATCAATAAATCTCAAAAAAAAATATTTCAAAATATAAAAAAAATACGTATAAAAGTTGCATGCTTTCGAAGTAAGGTGGTTGGACCGTAAGAAAAATAAATATAACATTAGTTTTCTCCCCTCAGGGAGGAAAACAATTTTTGATTCTATATGAACTCTCAACTGTTCCAAGCCATAAAGTTTCACGACTTGTATTGTCTTTGGTTAATTTTGATATGCCTACAATCCTTAATTTTTTTAATACCGGATCTATTGAATATAAATTTTATTTTGAACTTTCTTAAAACTTCGAAAGCGCACTGTTTTACTTAATTTATTAAAACGGAAAATTAAATATATGGAAATTAAAACTTTCTATTTTGTTTCAGTACAGAATTAAATTGTGTTACCAATACATTTTAAATAATCAATATTAATTAATGTTAATTTTATTTTTAAACGAATTTATTACATAACTAGCTGTCGCATGCGACTCCGTCCGCGCGGAATTATAAAAAAACTTAATTAATAGCCTATGTGTTCTAGACTACGGTCTACATCTGCCAAATTCCAACGAAATTCATACAGCCGTTCTGATGATACCTTCTAACAAACATCCATTCGCATTTATAATATTATTATATATATTAATATACTTCCTAGTTACGTCTTCCTAGTTACTAAATACGTGCAATATTGCGGCAAAATAGACGTACCTCCGTAATCCTTAACAATAATTTAGCAAATTACACCGTAACAAAATAGAGTTCATGGTTCATAGATCACAGAGAGCCGCTTTCAACACTAAACGAGAACTCTATAACTTAGTAAAACATATTAAAGCGTTGGCGTTTAAGTAAACTAAATTTTAACTAATACTTTCGTTTAAGAAAAAAAACAGTAAATTGTTAACTTTCACTTTGAATATTTAAAGTTATTATGCGTGCCACATTGGTCGCGGAGATCGCTAACTAATAATTTACAAAAAGCCTATAAATCTATAATTAAGTATTATTTATGTGATTTGGCATTCCTACGGCTTAACGTAATAAAAATGATCATCACAGAAATGATCGATAGCCTGTCTATAGCATAATAATAAGAAAACGTTTGATAAATTAAAACAGACACACTAATTATCTTATCTTATATATTTAAATGAGCAATTCTTGTATATATATATAATTGGAATCTCGGAATCGGCTCCAACGATTTTCATAAAATTTATAATATAGGGGGTTTCGGGGGCGATAAATCGATCTAGCTAGGAATCATTTTTTGAAAATGTCATTTTATTCTTGTTTTATCGGTAATCAAATTAAACATAAACTTAACTTTTTCTATCGGTAAGATCGAAAAATATTATTCATATTTCATCATTTTATTAGTAATTCGTACTTCAATATAATTTCCAAAAAGCACAATTTAAAAAAAATACCGAGCAAAGCTCATCAAAGGTCATCTAGGTACATTTTAGATTAAGAGGACAGAAAAGCAAAGGCTATTAACATTAACGCCAAAATCCTTAAAATAATTAATAATTACGTAAATAACAACAATCTCAATACACTGCGATATCTAAATATAATGTACTATCTTTTGCACGTGACTACGTCTGCGCTGTATTAAAAAAAAGCGAAAAGTATATATGTGTGTTACAAGATACTGTTATATATCTGTGCCAAATTGCAATTGTGTCGAACTGTTGTGGAGTTATCCCACGGGAACCGTACGCATTTCCAGAAATATACGTAGCCTCATATATGGTATTTTACACTGTTCTACACCTATACAAACATTCGCATTTATATTATTACTCTGATATAAGATATTTATTGCTTGTTTGAATAAGAACATTGTTATAGGTGTTTATAAGAAGAATTTTTTCAGTGTAAAAATTTTTTTTTTGCATATCGCTCTTTGACCTATAATTTAAATATTAGCAATAAATATTGTATTGTATTATATACATTACATATCACAAGATTTTAATAGATTAAAAAAACAAGAAATTTTCACATTATTTGTATAGAAAATGTAGTTTGTAATTTCCTACGCTTCACTAGGGCTGGTGATTTTTTTAACAATAACTCTTTTTCTTTTTGAATATCTATGACAAATCTTATCTGAATTCATTATAAATTATATAGTATAATACGATTCACCTTTTCCAATATTCTAGGCAACCAACTCTTAGCATAAAATTAACCTTTGTGTAAAAGGTCAAAAGTAAAGAAACTTTGCAAGTTAAAGTCAAGTCGCTTTCATTTGACAATACGTATTTATAGAGATTGTAAAAGATAACATTGCAAGAAATAACATCTCTACAATCTACTATAATTAAAAATACTAATTGTTGCCCGCAACTCTGTCCGCGCGATATTAAAAAAAGCGCAGTGTCCAGACTATGTTCTACATTCGTGCAAAATTTTCATCGTGATCCGTTGAGCCGTTCTGGAGATAACTTCAAACGAATATCCATCCATCCAACTAAACATTCGCATTTATAATATAAGTAAGATTTCTCCATGATTAACACTAAACCTGTATTGAAAAACAAAATCCGATCGCACCTTCCTTCCAAGAACGGTCCTAAAGAATCAAGACACTACTCGATCGACTGGATCCTAAAGTTGTAAGAGAAAGATATTTGCTTTTTTGACAAACAGGCAGCGTAAGGACTAAAATTACTAATCATAGGTCTACCATAAGTACTGCCTGAACAAAAATATATTGGTAAAATTAGTAAAAAAAAAGTTAAGTAAGTAACCATCTTAAAGAAAATGACAGACTTTCTTTAATGAAAACTTACAGGATCCAAATAATGACTTAGAATTTCCAGACAGGAGTTTAAACGGAAGATACTTAACGATGTAGAAGAGAGTTCAAAGTACGTTGTTCAAATTATAAGCACTTAACAACTTTTCCGAAAGATTAGTTTAATGAGCACCTAAACAAGGTCCAGTATACGCAACGACCGGTCTATTAAACTATCGCAAAGCCTAGAGAAGTCACATAACGGTGTCAAATGTCGCGATGGTCGTTTTCAATTAATTGCTAATAAAACGTTTAGTAGCAACTACTTTTATTGGTAGCTAATGTAATATATTGTTTTTTATCTTATCTAAATACCATATAGCTTGTTTAACCATTGGTTTCTGAGACTAAAGTCTCTGTATAAAACATATCATCCCTGTCATCATGTTTGACAAAACAGAGATAGCAGTAATATGTTTTTAACGGGGATTTTGGTGTCAGAAACACACGGTGTTTTTTTTATGTCATATGGCAAACGAGCGAGCGGCCACCTGAAATCGCTGAAATAGCGAAGTGACCGCTGCCCATAGACATACGCAATTGCATATGCGTTGCCTACCTTTAATCGACGGAGAAGAGGATGCACAGAAATAAAATATATTTCCTTTCCACATGCATCCTCTCATCCGGAAAGTCCACTTCCATCCTTTCCTTATAAGAAAATGAAAGGGAAGGGAAGGAGGACTAAATTAGGCTTCCAGGACGCACACTCATTAGACGAAACGCGGAATTGCTTCCACTTCACGCCTGTCTTCTGTGTGGTCGTGGTATTTCACCGGGCGTGCCTGACCAATTCGTGCGAAGATGTTAAAGCGGGCTCTACCACTATAAATGGCTGCAATCAACACGAATCCCTAGATATGATTTGTTACAATTTTTTATTAAGGGTCACCTGTTGTATGTATATTTGTTACAAATCTTACAATTCAAATTTGATCTATTTCCCGGTTATTCTTTGAACTGAATTTGCAAACGTAAATCGAGTAACAATGCGAGGTCTTGATCGAGTTTGGGTTCATTTGAATTGTCTTGAGGAGTTGTTTGTCTTTTTAATTAGAAGAACAAAATCAAAGCTTAGTTTTAAAAGATTTTTTGTTTTTATTCTTTTACTATAGAAAGCTAGTTAATTTTATTTCCACAATTCATTAAAGAATGACAACGGGAATTAAAATAATTAGCATAAATGTTCCAAATTTTTAAATGTCATTAATTTGAAGAATTTAATATATTTTATAGTGATATAGATTAGGTTTGAGTACCTACAAACATGTTTAAATTAACATAATTATTATATCATGACAAACGAGATGAATATTCAAATTTAAACTCGTATAAAATTGTTGTTTGTATTTTCCTTTCTAAAATATATTTTGCAAAACAATTTAAATATTGCAAATATAAATCATGTTGAATCATTTAATTTTTGAAATTATGGAATTAACTCACACAGATAACCCAGAGGGGTAGAAAGAAATTAACGACTTCCGTTTAGCGTGGTCCTGACACATCATCATCACTATACGTCCCCACCGAGGGGGTCGGAGCCTACCCTGAGTTAAGGGTGATTAGGCCATAGTCAACCACGCTAGCCAAGTGCGGCATGGTTGACTTCACACATATCTTTGAATTTCTTCTCAGATATGTGCAGTTTGCATCACGATGTTTTCGTAAGAACGTAGGATAAATATACATAATTAAATCGTAAATCGAAAAACACATTGGTACATGGCGGGATTCTAACCCAG